AAAAGCAAAGATTAGGCGGTGTAGATCCGTAGAAGGTTTCAAGACCCCGAACGTCATTTTGGTACTTGTTATGTATATAATTATGTCTTGGGTTGTATTTAGGTAGTTATTATAGTTGGGTAGTTATATATTTTGTCCCGACCTTTTTGGTATTGAAATCGTTGGTTGTAACCTTCGTGAAACTTTTGTGTTACAAGTTTTTTTTATTCGGTTGAACCGATCCTAATTTTTTGATGAAAATATAAAATTCATATCCCGTACTTGTTTTGGAGATTATAATTCGAAAAATGCTTTGGGTAAATAATAAATGAACTTAATGTAACCGCGATGTTACAATTATGGTATCAGAGCAGCGGTTTAAGTGATYTGGATATCAGAAGTGGTATCTAGACTTAAACCTAGGCATTGAGATCGTATAGTAACTAGGCGATGATTCATACGGGATATGGACCAATAGGTGAGACCTAAGTTGGGTTGGGATCAAGGGTAGGATTGTATTTAATATATATGTGTTGTAACTTTCAGCAAAATGTCAGAGCATGATGAACAAAGTCAAACGCAAAATGTTGGGGAAAACAACCCTGTATTGAATTTAAATGCTCCAGGAGGTGTKGGGAACGAKGAAAATCCCGCTTTGTCCCCTCGTACAGAACGACTCTTGAAACTTCTAGATGATCGATTGACTACAGCTCTGGAACGACAACGGCAGGAAATGGAGAGACGCTTTGAGGAAGAACGAAATCAAAACAATCTCTATGAACCCGACAATCGTGGTAAGCATCCGAACRAAACCAGAGATGCACCAAAACCTAAGACCGAGCGGGTTTCATTTAAAACTTTCAGAAGCAGCGGTGCAACAGAATATGCGGGGCAATCCGATCCTATATTAGCGATGCAATGGATCCAAAACACGGAAAAAGTGTTCCGGATTACTGAGGTACTGGATAGCGATAAAGTAAAATATGCCACTGCGATGCTTATTGAGCGAGCTCTCGTGTGGTGGGATGCCACATATGAATCCTTAGATGTGACGACACGTAACAATATGACATGGGATCAATTTCGAGAAAAATACTTTGAACAATATTGCCCTGTTGACCTTCAAAGACGTCTTGAAAAGGAGTTCTTGAATTTGAAGCAAGGTAAGATGACTGTACTTGATTATGAAACTGAATTCAACAAGAAGGCACGATTCGCACGACGATTTCTAAGCTCCGAACA